GTAGTCTTCCCCCTGTTCCCCAAAGTCTCTGCAAAATTAATTTTATACTATTGTGAGATTAGATAAGGTTTTTCAATTGAAGTGGAAGGAAAAAAAAAACAGAAGAGAGACTGACATCAAGCAATCTTGGAAAATTGGGTATTTAAGGGCCAACTCCTAGTTTTCTGTGCTGCAGCCATGAGGCAGTTATCTTAGGGAAGCTGTGTAACTCACTGCTTGTTTTGTTTTCTTTTTACATGAGAGGAAGAGTTGGTAACCTTTTGGAAAATTTCTTAACATCAAATTTGTCTATAAGATGCAGCTAGGGACATTTTAGTCATCTCTTCAGAGAAGCTTCTTAAGAAAAATACATATTTAAAAAGCCTCAGGAGGTGACCTAAAAGAGGTCACAGGACAGTTGGGGGTTCTGTACTTGAGACTGCCAGGATTTGGGGAAGATGCTGAAAGTACATTTTGAGTGCACTGTCTCCTCTCAAAGGAAAAATATATCAAGAACTGGCTGTAGAGGAGTCTTTATTCATTCAGTATAGTTTTTTATTAGGTTTCTCCCTCCTTACAGCTTTATCTCCCTACAGTTAAAGATATTATTTTTAACCTAATCTGTGGAAGGTGGTGTGATTTTAAGCATTTAATCTTGCTTCCTGCTTTCAGAAGTGACAGTGACTATCTCTCTTGCAGGGCGCCGGCGAGGGAAATGCAACCACGACAATGTGCAAGCTGGTAAGATGCCTCTGGCTTTTGTCAAGCACCTGTCATGCAGGTCTAACACAGTTGCCCAGAAGGGGCTTTTGTAGGCTCTAACTACTCTATAGATGCTTCTTGGAACCAAAAGTAGCCTTAGGATCTTCCTGTTTAGCTAAAAGAAGCTTTGTCTATGGAGTTTGAAATGCTGTATTTGTGGGGAGACTTTTGAGCCAGCCAAGGATGTACTAGCAGAAGAAACTTTGGTAATCATCTAGGCCATAACAATAGCAGATTGGTTTAGGATGGATGCACTGAGCTCTCCACCAGAAAATACAGCAATATTTGCAAACCTAGAGACTTTTGAGCCAGCCAAGGATGTACAAGCAGAAGAAGCTTTGGTAATCATCTAGGCCATAACAAATAGCAGATTGGTTTGGGATGGATGCACTGAGCTCTCCACCAGAAAATACAGCAATATTTGCAAACCTCTTGAAGCTGCAGCAGTGTTTTTGTGAGGTGAAAGTTGATGAATCATCTGGGCATTATCATAAATCACAGCTTCACTGTGTCTGCACTTTCATATTAAATTTACAAAATGAGATGTTGTCCACGTACGTTGCCAAAATAGCATTAAAGCTTAAAAGTTTTGTTAATACCCTCCTGTGGCTGATTAGTGCTGACTCACACCTTTGCAATGTGGGGAATGTGGCTGTAATTAATATTTTTGTCTTCCATCAGCACCGTACACCGAGCTGGCCCTGCCGCCCCTGAAGCTGCGGAAGGTTTGGATTGTGTACTCTGCTGATCACCTGCTCTACGTGGACGTGGTGCTGAAGTTTGCTGAGTTCCTGATGACAGTCTGTGGCACTGCTGTGGCCTTGGATCTGCTGGAGGACCACCACATCTCGGAGCTGGGGCCCTTGCCCTGGCTCACAAAGCAGAAGAAGGAAATGGAAGAGCTGTCTTCAAAGATCATCATCTTGTGTTCCCGGGGCACCCAGGCCAAATGGCAGGCCATGCTCGGCAGTGAGCCCGTGTGTCTCAAGCAAGATCAGCAAAAGCCAGTGGGAGACCTGTTCACCCCAGCCTTGAATCTGATCCTGCCAGATTTCAAGAAGCCAGCCTGTTTTGGAATGTACATAGTTTGCTACTTCGAGGGAATAAGTAGTGAGAGAGATATACCTGATCTGTTCAATGTCACATCCAGATACCAGCTGATGGACAAGTTTGAGGATATTTATTTTCGGATTCAGGATCTGGAGAAGTTTGAGCCTGGGCGGATCCATCGAATCCAGGAAATCACAGCTGAAAATTACATCGATACCCCCAGTGGGAGGAAGTTGAAAGACGCCATAGAGAAGTTCAAGAATTGGCAGACTGAGCACCCAGACTGGTTTGAGAGTGAAACCATCTGTTTGGATAGCGATGAAGAGCTGCATTCCCTGAACAGAGAGAGCCAGGTGGATTCACTGCTGAGTGAGCCAGGTGGAATTGTGAAACACCAGCTGCACCTACGTGAGCCTGACCCCGGCTGCTGTTACACCATCGACCTCCACGTGCACGAAGGTGAAAGTACAGGCTGCCAGCTGCAGCCTCAGCTTAATCCATGTGGGCATCCAAATTCCCAGACTGTGGTCCTTCCTATGGATGTTCCTCCAGTTCAGGTAGTGGAGCCAGTCTCTTCCGTGGAAGACAGAAATATACTCAGTCACCATGTGCTGAGCAATGAGGACTGTATGGAAGCAGTTCCTCTTCTGGAGACCAGCTTTCCAATGAGGAATAACGTCATCCTCCACGATGGCTCTGAAGCTTCAGTAGCTGACCAGAGTCCTGCAAACTTGTCAGATGACCTGAGTGATCATCTGAACGGACTCGTGTACCCCCTTTATCAGCAGGGTGTCATTCCTTCAGAGCCATGTCTCTGCCAGGGGGAGGCTGACACGCAGCACCAGCTGGTCTTTGATGAGCACTGCGAAGACCAGAGACAGTCAGTGCAGTCAGACCAGGGCTACATCTCCAGGTGCTCCCCTCTGCCTCCTGAGGACCTTCTGGAGGAGGAGGAGGAAGAGGAGGAGGATCAGGAACAGCAGGGGGGCTTCCATGAGCTCTCTCCAGAGGTTTTGAGCAGTCTGAAGAGCCTCCAGAAGCAGCTGTTTTTCCAGGACATCCAGAGGTGCTCTAGCTGGAGCTACCCAGCAGAGGTGATGGACATGGACCAATCTTTGGAAGACTGTTAGGCTCTGCCTGGGACCTGCCCTGTTTGAAATGCAGGGATGGAAGGTGGTGCCATGCAGAGCAGTACTGAGACTGCATTTCCAGCACTGTCCTCATCCTTGTATTGTAAATGGCTTAGTGCTGGCACCTTCCTGTGCTGCTGGAGTGCAGCAGTGCCCAGCAGATGTGGAATGTTGCTTCCAGTCTCTGTGGAGAGAAGCCAGGAGTAGTGGCCACCCCTGTGAAAGAACAGACAGTGTTTCTGTTCCTTGGGGAAAAGCATGACACTGAATTCTCACTGATGGATGGCAGAAAAATTACTGTGGCTCATCCACTCGTGCCTTCAAAATGCCCTCCAGCTGTGCTGATTCTATTGCACTGGATAAAAGTCACAGGCATGGTTTAGAAAATAGGTTTAGATAACATGGTGATATTTGCATTGCCATTTTAATACACATTTTGAACATTTCCTTGTAAATAGTGTATTAAAGACATGTGCCTTAAATTTCAGCTAGATTAAGGCTGTCTCTACCTGGTTGATAAATGTGCCTAAAGATTTTTTTTTCCCCCACTCATCATTCACTTGCAACTGCATTTCCATGGTTATTTGGAAATCAAGTGGAATAGCTGAGAATAAGTGGGATAGATGTTTAAATTGAGAGTCTCCATAACTCTTCCTGACTCTCTACTGGGAGAGAGCAACAGCAGTGGAGGGGGAAGAGGAGACCAAGAAATGGAATTTGGGATTTTTTTACAGTTTTAAGAGATGTGGGGCTGAATACAGAATCACAGAATCAGGGGAATCTGATGTATTCTGTGACACACTGCTGCAGTGCTATTTGCTTTTGCATAGCTTAGCACCAGGAAGATGTGAACTGAAGATATAGATAGTGACACACAAGGAAATAAAGGACTATTTTGGAGGAGGAAAAAGTGTAGCCTCAGCAGATGCTGCTTTAGAGTGGAAATTATATCTGAGTTAAGGGAGGCTGAGCAAAAACAACTGTAAGATGTGTGGATTTAAGCTGAAGCACAGGTAGTTCAGGTTAACCACAGTGAAATACTGAACAGACTGAGGGAGTCATCTTCCAGGAGCAGTGATGGTGAGGCTGACGTTGACCCTGTTTCTTATCCCTGTTTCTGCAGCCCACTGGATAACAGCCTGTGAGATGTAAATACATCCAGGCCTTTCTTCTTTGTCATCTTCCCATCCATCTAAGTTTACTTGTCAAAACATCTTTTATCTCAGCTTTTTTAAAATTTAATGTCTCAGAAAAGAATCTATTCTTTGGTCTTAAAATTTATTTTGTAGTGTGTGTATTTTATAGTTTTGTGTCTAACCTGTGGGGTTTTTTTTCCTTAAATTAAAAATGAAGAATAGTTTTTTGGATATATTCACTTAAATACTTCTGTGTCCTCAATTCTGCCTTACTCCTTATGTTGAGTTATGTTAAGTTCTTAGTATTTGTTACAGAAATCTGAGGCAAAACTGAGCCAGAACTGAACTAGCTCATGAATGTCAAAATATTCCTGCAAAGCACAGTATGGAAATGAGCTGGACAGAGCTGAGGGCCTGCAGCCATGGGAAGCATCCCTCCATCCCTTCAAAAGGAGTGGTAAAGGAATTGTTTGCAATTTCCGTTTTCCATGCAGGACTCTTAGGACAGCTTAGTAACAAAGGGACAATCTCTGCAGAGATCCAGACTTAAGTCTGGGAGCCTTCCTGCTCCAACAGGAATCCAATCTAACCCAACAGGAGCTGAGCAGGAGACAACTGTGATCTCAGTGCTTCTCCAGTGAGAGCCCATTTCCCAGATTGTGTCAGTAATTGCCATCCTGATGATCCCACTTCTAAAAGTTTCTTTTATCTTACAGCAATTAACATCTAAATCTGATTTTTTTTTCCTCATGAGTCTTTTTCAAGTGGTATAAATTCCTATAAATCACTTAAATAGGAAGCTCAGAAGTGCCATCTGAATTTCCTTGCCTTAGTCATTCCCTTCTCAAATAACTCCCTTGGTGTTACAGCTCTTAGAATTTGCTTTCACTTACAAAAAGTTTGTTTGAAGGGAAAACCCAGACCCTATTTTAGCAATCCAGTATGAGGAAAACAAGTAACTTTAACACATCTATTGGTCCCTATTCAATACAAAATTGAACAGCCCAGCAAGAATCAAAGGAGGGAAAAAAGGAACAGAATCAGTCACAAGTTTCTAATTTTATTTTAACAATCTTGCTTTTTAAAAAATACAAGTTCTGATTAATGCCAGGGGGATGCCAAGTGTCCATCAGCCACAGGCCTTATCTCTCACTTCCATTTCCCCTCCTGGGAGTAGTCATCTCTTTTGTCAGGGTAGCAAACAAAGAGCAGTAAAATGCTAAATAACTGAATTGTGTAACAGAATCCCAAGGGACCTGTGTCTTAGTATGGCACAAATTCGTTCAGCAAAGCGTCACTGACCTGGACCAGTAATTTCATGTTGGCACAATGTACAGGAGTTGTGCAAGGTGCATCAGGAGAGGTATTGTTTGCACTGCCTGGTACCACCTGCTCTCTTCTGCAAACAGAAAGGTTTAAGTGGAAGCAAGAGCTCAGTTACCAAAGAGGAGGGAATTCAAGAGGAGGAGCAGGTTTATAAACAAGACATTGAAGATCTCTAAATGTTTGTTTTTTTTCATAGTAAGTAATTGCAGGAGCAGCAGAACTGCCCTTTTAGCTGCAAGGGGGCTTCTGTATAGGCAACTACAAGAGCTTTAACACTCTCCAAACAGCACATTTCCTAACAACCTAGAAACCATGGCACCACAAAGAACAACTTTTTCTACAAAGGAATTCTATGCAACACAAGTGTCATTTTGCAGGGTCCTGTGTCCCGAGCAACCTTTTCATCCATGGAAAAATCTGAACTGTGAGTTCACTGCTAATGGGTTAAATATGCCATGGCCTGATAAATTTCAAATATGCCATTTTTCTCAATAACATCCTAACTGGAAAAAGGCACTCACTTTTGAAACAGCAACTTTGTTATGGGCTATGAAGGGGTACTGAAGTAAGACTCATTAATAACTGTGCTGTGATTCTTTTGATGTCTCTACTATGCTCATGCTTCAGTGTGTTAGGGATTAGCACTGTGGTGCTATTGGGAACTTGGCCATAGGAGCAGCCAAACATATTTAATGATGAAAATATTTTTTTTCCTTCAGCTTGTTTTTGGCAAAGTTGATTGGGGATTTTTTTTTTCCTTCAGCTGTTTGACTGAAGAGTGGAGTAGTCCTAGGTTCAGGTATCACCTTATTCTCTATTGAATAATTATTTCTGAGCTTCTACTACCTATTTAATGCTGAAAAAGGAAGGTGCAAGGAAACAAGTATCTGTACAAGCATAATACGCCTGTAATTACACCTCCTTTGGCCAGGAACTTAGCATCCCCTCAACACATTTCACATCACATAGGAAAGTTCACAGTACCAAGTTTTACAATCACAGTCACTCACAGCACCAAGATTGTCCAGACAAGAAGAAGTTACCGAAGAGAAAGGCCACTGGCCAAAATTCACACAACTGCCCGTGTAAGGGCTCAGGTTAAAAATAAAGCACTGGTGGGAAAGGTAAGCCTAGCTTTTGCCAACTCTCCATTTGGCACGAGGAGAGCAGCGAGTCACCCATCCTAGCTGCACTTCTGAACAGAACAGCACTATTGACCCATCTTTTCTAGGGGCTTCTCCAGCCCCTCAAAACCCATCAGCCCCACCGAGAGCTGGGGGAGAAGAGCCCCATGGCAGCCCCACTTCTGCCTCTGGGAGCTGGAAGTTACCAGACTGTAAACATTTTGTTGTAGCAGTCCACCGGAGCAGGCAGTTGATCCCACTCTGTGACAAGGAAGGTGGGACAGAGGCCCTGAAGCCCAAGCCCTGAAAGAAAGAATGAATGTGTGTGCGGAAAAAGTCCGGGCTGCGCCTGCAGTCCTGCTGTGGGTAGCAGTCGGTTGTGCTTTATTTCCCCTTCCCATCAGGACAGCTTGAAAAAAAGAAAAAAAAATTTAAAAACTTGCAACAGGAAAGTGTTGTTTTTCACAATTATTGCAGCCTTGCCCAGATAACAAAATATAAGCCTGGGAGGGGCAAAGTCCTTCCTCCGAACGTGGTCTGTGTGCTCCTCCTTCCACGGGGCTGGTTTCAGGAGCAGCGGCAGCCAGGCAGAAGAGCAGGCCTTAACCCCACCCGACATTCATGGAGCTTTAAAACCAAAGAAAACTGTGTTCCTATGAGAGGTTATAACAATTTTTCCCCACCTACCCTAAACCACATGCACACAGAGGGCAGGATGCTGATACGTGGGCTTTCACCAAAGCTCGAGAGCCCCTGTGCCTCAAGGGCTCCTGCAGCACTTTGCTTGCTGTGCTGAAATGTTTGGTTCACTGAGCATGGAGCCCCCCCCGAGCAGTGCCAGCGTCCTCTGCTCTGCTCTTGGAGAGGCAGCACTTTGCAGGCTTAGCCCCATCTCTGCTCTCTCAAGCAGGCATGGAAGGGGGCCGGAGGAAATTTTCCAGCCTTTCTGGCTGTGTAAAGGAAGACCCTACGCTCCGTGTAAAAGAAAACCAAGGCTGATCCCGTAAACATGCATATTCACAGAGAAATGAGAGCCCCAGCACCTGGGGATGCCAGCAGGAGGCTGCTGTAAACCCTGTTCTCACCAGAAATAAATGTCTTGGTGGTGATGAAATGGGGCCTAAGCCCTGGTTTGTGTCCATGCCCGACTGGTGTCTTTAGCATGTGAAGTCAATGTAAGATGCAAAAGGTTGAAGCACAGAGGTAGACATTTTGGCTAGGAGAAGGTGGCTCATGGGCTTGAAGTGACCAAGTGGCCAGCGTGCTTCCAGAGGTTCCTTAGCTGGTACACAAAGGCCTGGGAAACACAGGCAGCAGCTTTGCAAGACCTAGGGAAACCAAAGCCTGCTTCCTTCTGTCCTTCCTGGAGGCAACATCTGCTGGTCAGGCCCCTCTTGCATCTCATTATTGTGGTCAGCAGGAGTTCTTAAGGGAGGGGACAAAATGCACGGGTCCCTGTTGAGGATGAAAAGGAAAAACTGAGCCTTTTCGGTGACAAAGCAACACAATGTCCTGGGAGGGGGGGGAAGAGTGAGACCCTCCAGACAGTGGAGATGCAGAAGCACTAGAAGAAGTCTTGTCGTGAAGGACAGGTGCATTTTCCGGGGACAAATGCCATCCGTAGGCTCCTGCAGGTAGTCGGCTTTGTGCGGAGCTTCCGCTGCTGGATTTGTCCACGAGGAAAGGAGGAGGGGAACGAGAGTCTGGCCGGGAAACCCACGTCCCCTTCTTCCCCTGCTCGGCCACGGCAGAGGGAACCTGAGCAGAACGCAGAGACAGAGACTCTGCCGGGGGCTGCCGGGGGGCTCAGCCCTGGGCGGTGACCGCCAAGGCGTTCACGTACCCGTGGGGACCCACGTCCACGTCGGAGAGCCCGTGGGCCAGCGGGGCGGCGGCGGGCGCGGCGGCGGCCGGGCCGTACTTGGCGGGCGGCGGGGCGGCGGCGGGGCGCAGGAGGCAGCAGGTCTCCAGCGCCTCCAGGCCGCGGCAGGTCAGGAAGAAGAGGTTCTTGAGCATGAAGAGGGACAGCGGCTGCTGGTAGCGCAGCAGCAGGAGGCAGCGCAGCGCCAGCAGCGGCGCGTCCAGCAGCCCGGCGGGCAGCAGCAGGTGCAGGGCCAGGCGGGCGGCGCCGGGCGGGCGGGCGGCGCTCAGCTCGTACAGCCACAGCACCGGCGAGGCCAGGCAGAGGAAGTAGACGGCGATGAGCAGGTAGCGCAGCGGGGCGGGCAGCGGCGCCGGCCGCCCGGGCTGCAGCACCAGCTCCAGCAGGGAGAAGCTGTCGAGCAGGTCGAGGCAGGTGGCGAGGAAGGCGGCGGCGGCGCGGTGCTGCGGCGGCGGCTGCGGCGGCAGGAGCAGCTGCCCGGCGCCCTCGGTGCCGATGGCCCGCAGCAGGCAGTACAGCAGCGGCGCGGAGAGCGCCAGCGTGATGCGGAAGCCGGTGGTGCCCAGCGGCAGGCGCAGCTCGATCAGCTCCAGGATGGAGGTGCCCAGGATCAGCGCCGCCTTGGGCGTGAAGGCGATGGAGTAGATGAGCCAGGCGAGGTGCGCGTAGGCGAAGTCGCCGCCGCGGGGGGGGACCCCGGCCCCGCGGCCCCCGGCCCCGCGGCCGCCGGGGGGGCCGTGCAGCAGCAGCGGGTGCGGCGGCGGGGGCCGCTCCCGGCGGCGCGCCCGGCTGTTGCGGCAGAAGAAGATGCCCCAGCCGGCCGCCAGCACCAGGTCGGTGGCGATCCAGCTGCACCAGTACAGGTCGGTGACGGCGATCAGGTAGAGGTCCAGCAGCGCGCCCTGCCCCAGCAGCAGCACCAGGGACAGCGCCTGGAAGCCCCAGCGCCGCCCTCCCCCCGCCCCGCCGGGCTCATGCTGCGGCCCGGGCTCCCGCCGCCGCTGCTGATGCTGCTGCTGCTGCTGGGGAGCGGCGAGGCGGCGGCGGGCAGCGGGGCGGCGGGCGGCGGCACCAGGGGCTTGCTGATGCTGCTGCTGTCCTCCTCCTCCTCCTCTTCCTCCGGAGCCGGGGCGGGCGGCTGGCGGCGGTGGGTGGGCTGCGGCTGGGGCTGGGGCTGGGGGAGAGGCTGCGCGGCCGGGGGAGGGGAGGAGGGGGGCGAGAACGGGAGGGCGAGGAAGGCGCCCCCGCCCTGTCCCCGGGGATGCTCCCCTTCCACATCTCGGCCCCCCCGCCCTGTGCCCGGGGATGCTCCCCTTCCACATCTCGGCCCCCCCGCCCTGTCCCCGGGGATGCTCCCCTTCCACATCTCGGGCAGCCCCGCGAGTGGGGCCAGTCGCCCACGGACGTGCCACAGCACCCACTCCGTTACATCGGAAGTGCTTCCGTCTCCCCTGGCCTCTCTAGGCTGGCCAAGACAAAGAGCAGTTGGCCTGGCACAGAGCCTGCAGTGAAGAGCTCGTTTGGGGCTCATCTGTGCTGGTGGACATTTATCTGCCCCTACATTTGGTCTGGAGTGTTTGTTCATCAAAGTGTCTTTTATCCCACCAGTTTTTTGTGTTGAGGGAATCCACGTGCTGAGGGCCCTGCCCAGTTTTCCATGATGGGACAGAGCCTTTGAATTGATATGAATAGCTCTGGAGTTCTTCTGCTGAAAGCAACAATCGAGACCTTTGTTGACCCACTATTAATGGCCTCGAATTGAGCTTAATAGCTGTTTGCATCTGTTTATCACCAGCTCTAATGGCTTGGCACGTCATGTTCCAAAGTGCCTTGGTGCTCAGCATCACCAGCTCCTCATCTGTACCTGTGCCCACCAGTGGTGAGCCAGGTGCTGCCTGACAGTGATGTGGAGCACACCAAATGAACTGTCTCCACAAACATCTGCATTAACTACACTTTGCCATAAAGATCCAAGATAGCTTCACGTTTTCAGCATGTTGCTGAATCAACACATGGCACTGAGCAAATGCTGCTTAGTGCTGGGAAAGGACAGCCAGGACAGCAGTGACAGCCATCTAATACGTGTTGCAGGCTCCCTGAGGAGCCCTGCTGTCCCTGGCTGCTCTTGGCTGCAAGGAGAAATCAGTCTGGGGTACAAGGAGAATTCATACAAGGGAAAGGGAGAACTTGGGGTGGATGGACACAAAGATTTCTTTGGGCACACAGCATCAGGAGTACAAGCAGGGGAATAGAAACAGTCACAGCCAAAAGCATTGCTGTCAGTGGAGACTGGAGCGAGGTGGAGCACACAAATTCATTTTCTAAAAGCATGGTCAGAACAGAGGGGAAAAGAGAAGGTTACCGGAGGCTATGCAAGTTTTAATTTGGGCAGCATGGGAGTGAAATGGTATCACATCTAGGGACTGCAGCAAGCAGTCCCCATACAGGTTGCTACCCTGCTCCTAAGCCCGTGCTGCTGCATCCCTGCTGCCACACCCTGCTTGGCTGGGCTGCAGCTCACAGGGGGGACATCTATTTTCTGCACAAAGTCTTCACTGAAGGCTCCGTGTACAGGCTCTGTTTGATAGGGAGCAGGAGGCTGGGGTCCATGGCCAAGCAGGGTGATTGCTCTCTCTGGTGCTCTTTCATGTTCCTTGGCAGGTGTTGGGAGTTGCTGAGTTCAGGACAGCCCAGAGTGGGGTGAATGACACCAGCTGTGCCTCCTCATTTGGCTTTCACAGAAAGGCTGGGTTGGATGGCAGTGTAAGCCTGTGTGGCCCATGGCAGAGGGTAAAACCACATTCTTATGCTCTGGATCCTGGCTTCTATCCAAGGTGGGTGGCCCCTTCACCTGACTGTTCTCAGGTAAGCCACGATTCATGTGTGGTCAGCCCTCAGCATTAGCTAAATTGGTCTTGCTCTTGCCACATTCTGCTGCAAGGGGAGTTTTCCACTTCTACAAGAGGATGTGGAGTGAACACCAAGCATCCATCTGGGCTGCTCAGGGCACTGCCTGGGCAGCAGACAGTGACAGCTTTGCCTCGCTGGCTGTCACGCTCTGGGTTTCCTGAGCAATGCAATTGCACCTGACTCTTCTCAGGTAAGCCATGATTCATGTGTGGTCAGCCCTCAGCAATAGCTAAAATGGTCTTGCTCTTGCCACCTTCTGCAAGGGGAGTTTTCCACTTCTACAAGAGGATGTGGAGTGAACACCAAGCATCCATCTGGGCTGCTCAGGGCACTGCCTGGGCAGCAGACAGTGACAGCTTTGCCTCGCTGGCTGTCACGCTCTGGGTTTCCTGAGCAATGCAATTCCCTGTGTGCCACGGGCTGGACATGCTCACTGAGCTGCCCTGGAAGCCTGCCACAGGCACTCACACCTCTGCTTTTGATCCAGACACTCATTTCACAAAGAAGCCTCATTCCCCAAAGCTTTGGCTGGCTGGCTGGTGTCCCACCTGCCGGGGTGAATTGGGTGGGGATCCCTGGGCTGAGGCTGTGTGAGCAGGGCAAGAGCAGGCTGGTGGAAATGGTTCTCCAGACACCACAGGATGCCTGCTGGGGCTGTGGAGGTTCCTGCATCCCAGGTAGGTGTGTGGGAACAGGGAGGACCTGTGGTTGCACGGCAAGGGGAGCTATGATAAGGAATGGGGGAACACCAGGTAGGAGGGTGGAAGCTCGAGGGCTTCCTTGGGCTGAGCATGGGCTCCAGCAGTGCAAACACAACAAAAAGAGGTGAGGATAAGAAAGGAGCTTATTTGTAGGAAAGGAAGCAGAAATTGTGCCTCTGTTTCAAAATGGGAATGAGGGGGAAAATGACTTCTACTCGAGAAAGCACTGGAGAGCTTTTTGTAGCACGCTGTAGGATGAGATATGACAAGATGATGCTTCCCATGTGATCCAGTTATTGAATGCAATGTGCAGTCTTGGATGTGTTAGTGCTTAACCATTGCTGTTAAAACATTAAAAAGCTAAACTATAAATAGATTCTACTCTTTAGTAGCTCCCAAGCTATGTTTTTTGCTTTTTTATGTTTTGATGTGTATGCACAGAGATGTGTGTGTATACATTTATTTAAAGGCAAACAGCAGACAGAGTTTTGTGCAATAGTCATACTGAATATCTAAAATGCTACCATTTTTAGTTCACACTGCAAGTGGAAGCAAATGTGCCCTCAAAAATACCCCTGCTGGGGGAAGGCAAAACTTTCTTGAGGGCTGAACTTGGGAGAAAACAAAATAATGACTCAATTTCTTGGGGGGAGGAAAAAAAAAAAGAAAGAAAAACAGGGCAGCTATATGCCTGAAAGAAAGACCAGAAACTAGATACCTAATTATACCCTGCAGTAAGCTGTCAGAAACTGGCAGCAGTGGGAGGGAAAGAGGCAAAGCTGATCTCGGGGAGTTCGAGCATAATCTGCTCCAACCATACTTAAAATGCCTTTTGTGTGGGAAAGGAAGCTTCTGGGATTCTCTGACACACACTTTGTGCTGCACTTATCTAACCCATTCAAATGGCCAGGGCTGAAGTGACAGATAAGTGCAAAAAAGTTTCACCTGGCCAGCACCAAAATTCAACGATGCCTTGGCTTCCGAAGGCAGCCTTTGTAACTGGACTGCTGATCCCGTGTTATGGCTCAGGGAATGCAGATCCTCTTCAAAAGGAAATTGAACTGTTAACAGTCTATTGCTTGTAATTACATTTCGGTTCAAAGAGATTTCAATGACAGCAGAAAGCGCCAAGACATTTCTTTTCATGCTTGTAGCAGGGCAGGAGCTTGGAGAGTGGATTTGGGTTTGCTTTTGGTATTTTCTTGCTCAATCTTAGAGCATCTATTGATCTGACCTTGAGGAGGAAGGGAAAGCTCTTCATAGTTTAGATGACTGAAAATAGGTGTGTTCTAGTGAATGAAGAGAAGTGTTTCCTTGATGGAGGTTTGGTTCCTAGAGAACATGTTGCTGCCCTGCTGGTGCAGGGTTTTAAACTGTTGCAGACTGGATCTATGAAGTGAACAGTGTTCATCAAATTAACTGCAGCAGTAAAAAAACCCATAAAGATTTGTGCTTTTATAATTGGGGTTAGGAAGGGCTGGCAATGGAAGGGTTTGGACAGGCCCCTAAAGGTACCAGGGCAAGCAGGGACCAAGCAGTTCCCAAGTGTTACACTGGCAGGCATTTCTCACTGCATTCCCCTGGGAGCAAACTCCTCCAGGGCTCTCAATCCTTTTGTTCAGTTGGTCCCTCTTCAGTGTTTGACTCTGCACCTAGGGCTGGGTAAGGATTTCTATGGGGCTCCAACTTCCAGCTCAGCCTCTCCTAGGAGGGACACCTTAACCCTAGGCTGCTCTGACAGTAGTGATTAAAAGCATGCACCTGGCAGTTTCAGCTTGTGATCTCTCCCTGCTTAACTAAACCTTGATTAGCCCCATCTCGGGTGAGTGCTCCAACTACCAGAGCACTGGATAAAAGGAGGAGGCTGGTTAACACTTTTTATCATTATTTACTGGAGGCTGGGGCTGTAGGTGACTTCTCCAGGATGTAAAATATAATTCAACTCTCTCCCTGAGATTGGGAATCCTTGTCCAGTCCCTCCCAAACTGCTTTACTGATTGCTGCTTTCAACATCAAGTTCTCAGGACTCTGCATCACTCTTGTTTTGCTGCCTAATGTGCCTCCTGTGAGCTGTGAACTTTGTAGATGGGAAGCTTTCTGATAAAATATAAAAACAGTGCAAGTGGATTGGCTGTTTCTAGATTGTTAAAGATGATGGTTTCACCCAGCAGGCTCTTGAATTTTACGTTGAAACCAGGGGAAGCTTTTAGTTCTGGTCTGAAAGTTTGCCAGTTAATTGCTGAAGGGGTATCTTCCAGGGTGGTTCCCTCAAGAAATCTGGTAATAGCTTGAAGAACAAGGAAAAAAAAAATGAAAAAGCAAAGATATTTTACCCCAATAATCTTCTAGGGCAAAGATATGAAAGAGAGCAGGACCATACCCATTAAATGTACACACAGGAAGTTAAAATTAATTTCAAAGAAAACATATTTTATTATTTTACATATGTGGTTGAACAAAGCAGCAACTCTGTAACTGCATTGAAATTAATATGAAATCTAAAATAATCACAGTTTGTGATTTCTCTGAATGATATATAATCACTCTTCTACAGTGCACATGACACAATCTGAAACATTACCATTTCTTGGAGGGGGAAAGACATGGCAGGATTAGGACTGGAAGGAAGGGGTCAACAGTGTCCTGAATGCCAGGCTAGCAGTTGCATGTGTCCTGTGGAATAAAGGAATTGACTTCTCTGGCCACCATGTTATGCTGGCAGGAAGGGGTCAGCAGTGTTATCTGATGTCCTGAATGCCAGGCTAGCAGTTGCATGTGTCCTGTGGAATAAAGGAATTGACTTCTCTGGCCACCATGTTATTGCATGCCATAGAAGCTCTTGGCTTCAGATCCAAAACAAGGTCTATCCCTTGGTTCCTTTCTGCTTGTCTCAGCTGCAAGCTCCCCTCTGGCTTGACTA